AGGACAGTATAGATGGGTGTCTGATAGTCACTGGGAGACATTTTTTATTTACTCTTTCTTAGTTCATTAATCTTGGTATTGAGCTGAGGGGTTTACTCCATTCACATTGTATTACCATGTTTGCTTGCTAGACGTGTTATCAAAGGGTTGTAGTCTAAAATGGGGTCTATGCTTTTTGGTGCAGGATCTAACAGCTAATACTCCTAATCATAGTTGTTTTTGGCTGGGTATTTTTGACTTGAAATCATAAAATCATGTTAGAGTATGTGTCATTCCCACGAGAATACTGTCCATATTAATGGATATGCTCAAGCATTCAGTTAATAAAAGATGGTACTCRAGGGAATGGCACACTAGGTTTTTAATATATTACAATCATTATCATAAATGTGCTGTGAATGTATTCTATAAAGTACTTGTGTCAGTTATTACTCATTAAGAATTAAAGCACTGGACTATCTATTCATTTGGACCCTCTACAGGTCTTGACATGAACCTACTGATCGGTGAACTAATGGACACAATCAATTTTAAAATAAGCTTGAAATAATATATTTTTGCTTTGCTTTGTTTTCAAAACCAGTGATTTTTGCTAAGCACTAGTGGTCTATTAACTATAGAGCACTAGTAGCGTAGCCATTCAGAGCACAGGATTTTTGATAAACCATTAGTAGTTTTATGCCAAGATCAAAAATACTGGATAGAGTCAGTATTAAGACCTTGACCCGATATCTCAACAACTTGGACAGGGGGGGAGGGGGCTAAGTAAAGTTTGCTATATTCCCTTTTTATTTCACGTGTCATTATCTTGAGTGTTATTTTAGCTCATTCACCAGTATTCAGTAATATTACACTATTTGTTTATAATAATTATACACGTATTGAGTCATGGGAAAGGGCATGTTTGAAGACAGTGCATGGTTTACTTGGATCTCAGTGTAGCATGTGCATTCATTATTGTCTTTTTACAGTTTTTTCTTGGTATTTATTTAATGATTTGATTGATCTACTACAGGTCAGGAAGCGTTTTTCAATTTGGTGATATGGTTAATCAAGCCCAGTCCCCCACAAACACATCACCTTCACGACATTCATCTACATCAGGTCAGTACTGGGGCAAAGGTATCGTTAGTCTTGGTGGATATGTGTGTAACATTATAAGAGATTGAATATGCTTTATAGTTGATGCAGAAAATGGCATCAGGTCAGTACTGGGGCCATGGGATTGTGGTT